TTTATTTAAATTATTTTCTACTTCATATTTACTTTTTTAATTACAATAAAATGGCACACGCTAATAGTTATTTGATATATTTACATACATACATATGTACATTTGTTATTACTTATTTTTAAAAAAATTCTGCAACATAATTTTTCAATATTCATTATGTATCAAGAGTGTGAACAACGCATAATACTCACTGCTATGCATATAACAATGCTGATATTTATCGATTTTCGATATCAGTAAGGCTTTTGGAGAATAATACATGTAAAAGCTAAATTTTTTTGTGCTGGATTATTGGAATTTAAATGAATAATAAAAATCTTATATAGCAGCCAATCTGATTGCTAAAGGGGTGTTTCGCTAATAAAATCGCAGAGCTCAGCTGCATTGGATCAATTACATGTCTCAAATAATAAACCATTATAGTTTCAGAAAGCTCATAATATTTTGTGCAATTTTCGTTACAAAAATGTAGTAATTTTTAAAATAACAATTTTTCGAAATTGTAAAAATAAAAATTCTTCGAAACTTAATTTTCGCGAAATTTTCAAAACAAAAATGTTTCGAAACTTTAAAACACATTTTTTTTTATCAAAAATTTAAACGTTATTTTCTTGAAAATTTTAGAACAACATTTTTTCCAAAATTAAAAAAAAATATTCGCTGTTTTTTTCGAAAATTTTGAAAGAAATATTTTTCGAAATTTTGAAAACAAAATTTATACTTTAAATCAAAATTTTGCGAAACAAACAAATTTTTTGTTTTGAAACAAGTTTTTTTTTTTGAAATTCTAAAACATCTTTTTTTTTAATTTTTAAACAATAATTCTATGAAACTTTACAAACCTTTTTTTTTAATAAAAAAAAATCTAAATTTTTAAAATAAATATTTTTTGAAATTTTAAAAACAAAATTTTGCAATAAAACACTTTTAGCAACTTTGGCCAAATCACTGTTAGGTTATACCAATAATTCATCGATTTCAACCCACTTTCGTTCAACAGCTGAGCGAGGAAAATCCACCAAGTAAAAAAAAAGAAAATTTAACGTACAGATTTTTTTTTTTTTTTTTGCTCGTATTAAAATATTGTAAACTTATTCGATGTGATGTGTTTATGAATTATAAGATTTTATAAAACGCTCCCCAATCCTTTTTTATCTCTTAATTATAAACGCAAAATTCACTATATAAACTCACCTGTGGTGATAATAAGCCATGTTGTGTTTGTGGTGTATTTTGACTTTTTGTAATTACTGTTTTTTTTGTTAATTTTTTACTGCTGCTTATTATTACTTTTTGCAGCTTTTGTAGTTGATTATGTATTGGCGTACGTATTCAAAGCACAGCTTTGATAATTTAAATTTTTTACGAATATTTTTTAAGCACTGCTTTTTAAATTTTATTTCTAACTCTCAAAGCACTGCTTTGATTAGTTTTTTGGTAATTAAAATATTTATAAGCGCACTTGTGTTTATTAAACTAATATGTTTCGTTGCTTTGAACATACAGATACAAAATAGTGAGTTACCAATTTTTCCAGTGTATTTCCTTGCTGCTAATTCAAAGTTTATAAATATTTGCTTTGGGAACAAAAATTGCAATCATTTTAAATGTTTTTATTTTTTTATTTTGAGGCATTAACGTGTTTGGAAATTTTTTGCAACAAATTTTTTTGTGTGTCGTGAGCGCAGAATAAATTTTGTGATTTTCTTTTTCATAACTAATATTTTTTGTTTGTCAACATTTTTCAAACTGATAAACATTTTGTAATATAAAATTTTGATATAAAATACTGTTGGCTTAATCAATTAGCTATTTAAAAATTCTAAAAATTAATTATTCCAAAACTGATATTACAATTCAAATTCATATTTTCTTTGCTTCGTTGCAACACTATTTAATCCTACTGTATTCGATCGCAAGCTAAAAACTCATATAAAAATATTTTATATGTGGCAATATTGCGCGAGAGCAATAACGTTTATTTGAGCACACCGTACGCTCAGTTGTACGCCATGGCGTATGAGTAACCGCGAAACCGTACACAATCAATTTACGAATGAACGTGTCAACCCCATAATGCCGCAAGCCATTCAATAGCATAAACGCCTTAAATGTATAATTAAAGAGCACAAAATACAAAAAAAATATTTAAGAGTATTTTCGTTGCACGAAGAGCGCTTCGTAAGCTATCAAACACTGTTCTGCAAAGCTTTTATTATACATTCTGTGTATGTGGCTGCAATACACTCGCATAAACAAGCGCGTATGTGCACCGTTACTGCCGGCGATGTCTCCAACATTGTGCTGTTTTTATTCTCTAATACAAATAATTGAAAATTGCAAGAAAACCACATTTGCACTCCCATATTCTGTGCTTAAGTTAAAGGGAATTTTTCGAAGCGCCGCATTCGTTGTATGAGTCATTGGAGACTTGCGCGTATACACTTATATGTTGAATTAATAAAGTGCAGCAGTATGACAGCTAATAGTAGATAAAAGAAAATCCGTTAAGATATGCAGAGATTTGAACTTCTGACACACACTGAACTTGTGGAACATTTATTAGCTTTGCTTTTGGACGCTAATGAACCTTCTGTGACAATTGCATTTCTATAATATTCGTCAGTTACCTTTATAGGTAGATCAGATGCGTAGGAAGAATGTAATTTTGAACAACCGTAGTAGTATAAGTCTTACAAAAATTGGCAGCTGAACTTCTGAAACACTTTTCTACGACGTTAAACTTGTCAAACAGTTGCCGAGATGCATTTGGAAACAATAGAAATTAGAGTAACGCATTTTAGCGTAATCAAAACCGTTTTAACAATATTTTTTCTATCAATTATATAGGTGAGAGAGCTTGTCTACGTATTGTTAAAGTGAAAAAGTAAGAGAACTACGCTTGTGTATAGTACCCTTTCAGAAAACTCATTATTAACGAATTCAAAACTCTTTCGCACATGTGAACAAGTGGAACACTTTACTTGCTCTTATTTGATGAGTTATTGTTAGAGTATATGGGTATATGTTTGTTTCTTTTATTGAACAAATTCGATAATTTTATCAGAAAATCAGAAAATGCTATTTATAATATACGTCGCCAAATCTACATACATGCAAAAAATATTATTTGTATAGCAATGGTCATTGAGTTAGCGCCTATCGCGTTGGCAGCGATAAGGCGCTCGGCTACCGATAACTTCACGTCTGCATGCACAAACATATAAACATACTTATATAGTGCGATGTGCTTGTTTGCTATGTTATATCTATTGTTGTTGTATTTTTTTCATGCTCCTTTATTATTGGCGTCTTTTTGATTCAAATTCAATGTATTTGATTTCGATATTTCTTATCAAATTATGCTGCGCTGCATGCATTTGTTTGCTGATGATTTATATATGGCGGTTATGTGGCGTCAATGCTGACAACTATTTTTAATTAAAATTAAAATTGGCAACACTCCCAACCGCCCAGGCATAAAAAATTATCGGAATAATAATGTTAAGCGTATAAACTGGCATAAGGGAGCTAAAAATGAACTTGTTTCTCACTTAGATTTGGCTGAATACGATTTCAACACACCGATTATCGATAACCGATGGATAAAGAAGAGGAAGATGAAAGATGAGTAAAACGAGCATTACTGCATAGATTGGAGCTAGTGGAAGTCTTTTATCAGCAATATTAGACGGAAAGTGATTTAGCACATAGCGATTACCGACTATCGATCAGTAAAACGATAATTGCCGATTATTAGGTAGAGCGTTTTGGTTAGATTGGAGTGTTTTGAAGTCAAAATAATGCAGTTATGAGTGTAAACCTGCGCGAGAGTGCTAAAATAATGATCATTACTAACCAAAATTGAATTGAACGATAATCATACACACCGATTATCGATAATAGATCAGTAAAGCGAACACTGTTGTTGATTATACTGCGTACGTTGTATAGCTCGGGTGGTTTTGTAGCAGAAAGAAAGTATTTGGCGTAGAAAAAAAAATTTTCCCTGAGGCATGCACAAATAACGGTTTTTTTTTTTGAAAAAGTACGCAAGTGCGTATGAAGGATTTTTGAGCATCATGATGTCACTTACTTAGTAAATGCATAGCAGTAAAAACGCCAATAAAAGTACCGTGTTGCAAAAATACGCCTGCATGGCAACACTGTTACTAACTAACAACATTAGCGCTACAACTTGGCAATATTGCAATAAGTAGGTCAACTGCTAGTCGGTGGTGGATTTTGTCGCCGGTTATGCTGGCTGAGTGCAGTAGGTGCGGCTAGACAGGTAGACAGTTATGCACACACACGCGCAAACACATCATGTCATCATGGTGGTTGTGAAGTCGTTGCTGAAGGTGTACAGACGACTTAATGGCCGAACAAATAAATATATACATTTGCAATTCTATTGAATTTTATGCTGCTAACTGTTGCACATCGCATGCATACGCATGTACGTGTGGCTGTGTGTATGCACAAGCAATGACGTTGGCGTTAGACCACGCGCAAGGGAGTTGGGGGATTTTTCGCGTCGTTTCAGCAGACGTGTGTGGGCAGCCAATACTGTTATATGCTTTTATATATACACACATACATATTTACATATGAAAATATGTGTCTGCGCTGAATTATTGGTTAGAGTTCCAAAATGCAATTGCTTAATGTGGTATGTACGTGGCATATTTTGCAGCACATTTTGCAGCGCCGCTATCAACAAATGCAGGAGCTTATGAATGCGGCTTTGCGGGCGGGCTGTTGTTATTGAAGGCAGGCGCTGGGGAATCCTACGCTGATAAGCGCGTTTGTATAATTGTACATCCACATAAAAAATATATATTTATGAACTCGAATGTTAAACGCAGCGCGCATAGCATAAACAAGCGTTGAAAAATAAGCAACAATAAAAGCGCCAAAAACACACGCTTGCAGTGGCTGATCAACAATGGCAAATAAGTCAAAAAATAAAACAACTTTATGACACGCACACAATGCGCGCAAGCCGATTGCAGTTACGCGCCGGCTGCACGCACACGCATGCATAAGCAAAAAAAATTTCCGCTCACTGCTACGTTAGCGTCAGCGAATTTTCGCGAAAATGTCACAGAATGTTTTTTTTTCTTTTAATTTTTTTTTTTTTTTTAATTTTTTAATTTTTTGTACATAATTTTTTATTTAAATTTTTTTTTTTTTTTTGCACTAGTAGTCAAAGCGTATGACAGCGCACGCCGGCATTAGCAGCGCTTCTATACATAGCGCCAGCGTTAGGGCTGTCTCTTATACACATCTAGATGTGTATAAGAGACAGGCTATAGGTGATCTGTGCGGTGTCGCTGTGCCGAAGTCTTGGCGCCGACACGATAACGACAATGACGTTGGACCGACCGCACAGACAATCGTCCCAGTAGGCAAAAGCTAGCAGTTAGCAGCCATAAAACGTGCAATTAAACTTTGGTAATATTGCGGATGTGCATTGCAGCAGCGACGTACGGCTATGGTGGCGTTCGCTTATGACGCGCCGCTCGCTAAACGTCATAACTTATACTTTATACTACATAATTATGTGCGTATGTATATTTTATCACCATCTTTAGCTTGCTTTAGTAGCAGAGTAATTTTCCTTGGATTTATTTTATCATTTAGTAGTTGTTGCGTTACAAAAACAAAAAAATATATAACAGCAAATACACAGTGCGGTTTCCGGCTGTTTATTTAACTTTTTTCAAAGTGTTTTTTTTTTTTTTGCAAATAAAAATAAAATAAAATTTGACGGCCTACTATTGCTTTTGCTGCGTTTTTAAGCGCACGAAGTGCCCAGTAAAATTGCCAGTCACTTAAAGATCGCCGCTCAAACGCTTACACTAATAACATACAATGTGAACACTAACGGCTCGAATTGTGTTGGTATTATAGTTTCGCTGCAATTTGTTGCGTTGCGTTGCTTTATAGACGCCGGCAGCGCTGATGCGTTTGCGCCGACGTTGTTTTAGTCATTTAATTTGAAATCTTGAAATGATTCACAATTCGTAGAACATGCATATTTCTTATGTTTTATGTATGCAGACGACCGACAAGCGCAATTTGATTTATTTTTTTATTTCATTTTTTTTTTCAAATTAATTTTTTAATTACAAAAAACACTCTTTTATTATTATTTTGTTGAATTTTAGTTTTTTTTATTTTTCATATTTATACCGATCAGTACCTGTCTCTTATACACATCTAGATGTGTATAAGAGACAGGAATAATAATGTTAAGCGTATAAACTGGCATAA